ATGAATCGTCTTATAAACGAAAAACGCTTGCAAATTATTAAATTTTATTATCAAAATGCTTGCTCGGTTAAGAAAGTTCATTGTGCGCTGGATGCGTAAATAAGCTGAATTTTCGATTTTGGAGTGATGATCAGCCAGAAGCATTACAAGAGCTACCAATGCATCTAGAAAAAATCACAGTTTGGTGCGGTTTATGAGGTGGTGGCATCATAGGACCGTACTTTCTCAAAGATGATGCGAATCGTAACGTAACTATGAATGGTCTGCGCTACCGTGAGATGATATCAAACTTTTGTTTTCCCAAAATGCAAGAGCTTGACTTGCATGGAATGTGGTTTCAACAAGACGGTGCCACGTTCCACACAGCACGCCTTACAATGGACACATTGAGAGGCGAGTTCAGTGAATATTTTATTTCACGTTCGGGACCGGTCATTTGGCCGCCTAGATCGTGCGACTTATCCCCTTTAGACTACTTTTTGTGGGGCTATATTAAATTAAATATAATGTCTATATAGACAATCCCGCTTCAATTGATGCATTGGAGGACTACATTGAAATATTTATAATGCACCGCTCCGGATTTTAGCCCAGCAAATTTTAGGTCTGTTGCCATGAGCCCTTGATTATTGTTGTCGCTTAACTATGTAAGCTCTTAATTTGGTCGAGTTCTTTTGGCACTACAGTTGCTACAATCTCATTCGCCTAAATGATAATATCAACATCCTTCGGTAATGGAAGGTACAGCCCACCGTCATAAAGCACGTTCCACAGGAGTGGCCCTCCGCTTACGGCGTATTTTCTTTAAATGTTAACAAAAATAAAACGTATCTAATGAAATAAAAATATTAGTTGCCTGCAACAACAAAAAAGAAGCATAAAATAAATTGATCACCAAAAAAATGCCCCAATCACATCATAATTGGAAAGTATTGCGCCGACAAGGCTACACGGTCGAGAGTGTGAACTCGAAATTGCTTGCACGCGCTCAGACTTCAAGTACGAGAAGATTGCTGACGATGTTGCGAGTCATCAGTAAATCATTTTTAAACAATTATCGACGTTAAGGCAATTGCTTATAATAATATCATGCAGAAAATAGAGAAAAACACTGTAAAAACGAATTGCGGAGATTTATATAAGAGAATTAAAGTAATAAAAAATATGGATGCAAATATTGTATAAACGATAAAAAAAGATGAGAAAATATTTTGCGGTTTGCAAGAAGCACGTCAACGGAATATTAATCAGTTATTTATGAACCGATTCAAAATTTTTTCAAATGTGTATATACCTTACATGAAAAATACATGAAATGAACAGCATGACGAGCTGAGTTTATTTAGCCAAGACCGTCTGTTTGTATCCAAACTAGTCCCTAAGTTTTTGAGGTATTTCAATGAAACGTCCTATGAGATGTATTTTTGTATTATGTCGATCATTTGTCGGAGGCAGATCAGTCGGCTATATCATATACATAGCTTGCTTACAACCGATTTTGGCTAATGAAGGCTTTAATGAAGTCTAACAACAAGAAAGAAGATATTCAAAACACATAAACATTGGTGCTGAAAATCAACAAAAACGGGGAAAACCGAAATCAGAATGAAATTTTGAGTCATTTTATGTTTTACCACTTATAAATTCAAATCAATATAGACAGAGAAAACCATCGATATTGAATTTTGCATTTTGCAATAAATTAGTATAGGTTTTCATGAAAGGTATAAACACTTCGGTATGGTCGAATGCAGCTTTTCCTTTTTATTCGTTTTGTGTTGCTTACCTAAAAGGTAGCTTAAATTATTTTCTAAATTGTGTACAGACCATTAGCACGATACGTGACATTTGGGTTGACAAGTTTAGATGGCAATACTATTATTAATAAATTATTAAATAAATAAATAAGTAATGTGGAAAAATCGAATATGGCAAGTTAATGTGCTAATTGCGGTTGGTACGGAATTTCGTTCCGGTTTTAATTGCTCAAGGCTGTTGCAATTGTATGAACATGTTTTGCGTGCTTTTGGAAATTTCGAAATTTCCTATGTTTTTTTTTTATTTCCAACGAAGTAAGCATCGGCGTTTTCTTTGTTCTTCAATAATAGTCGATTGTATTATTATGCTATGGATATTTTCGTCAGCTTTTTTCCTTTTTAATCGTATGCGATCGTATGAAATAAAATATAATTAAGAAAATAATAAATAAAAATGAAATTAAATTTAAATTAAAATAACATAAATCAAATAAAATAAAATTAAATTAAATCAAATGAAACAACATAAACAATTAAATAATTTAGACTAAATAAAAAAATATAAAACTCAAAAATAAAATGAAATAAATTAAAACAAAATTAAAAAAATTGCAAGAAAAAACAATAAATTTAATTAAGATAGATTTAAATAAAAAATAATACAAATGAAATCAATTTAAATAAAATAACAGAATAGAAAATAAGCAAAATAATGTAAAATGATAAAAGAAAATAAAATAAAAAAAAAACAAAATAATTTTTTCCATTGAAAAGTTATCCATTATTTTTTCATTAAATTGAAGGCTTTTTTCTCATAGTAAGAATTATCCGATTTATGTCAAATATGCATCGTTTGCTTGATAACTTTTTGTCATTTTCAAGGTAATGTCTTTCTGCATCTTTAATAGAGGCCCTTTTCCTTATTGACAAAAAATTGGGAAAATTGATTGCAAGTATTTTACTGAGGCCATTTCTTCACTAGCCAAATCATTCGCCATAGACAGAAACAGCTGGTAATCACATAGTGCAAGGTCCGGACTATGAGGTAGATGTATAAGAGCCTCTCGACAAAGCGCTGGAAGCTTCTGGCGTGGGCAATGAAGCACAATTTTCATTCAGACGTTTCAATAGGGGAGAGGCCCATATGGATGATTCCTTGCCAATCCCACCAAACACACAACAAAACCTTGCTGACTCCTCTTCAACCACAAATGTTTTGGTTTGACGTTGCTGTAAGTGATTTGCTTTCCAACACCAGTCACGATCCTCTTCAGAAATGGGTCGATTTTGTTACGATTCAGCAGCGATTCCGAAATGGTAATTCGGCCTTTTTGTATCCATCCTGTTTCAAGTGGCTCCATACTGTTTTCTTGTGTAATGTTCGTAACCTGGGCAATCGAAATAGGGCTGGCATGGCGTTTTGACTGAACGATATTCATTATTTTATCGACATTTTCGATAATTCCACAATGTGGAGCATCTTTTACATCAAAATGAGCTGAACGAAATCGACGAAACCAAAATTGTGCATTATTGTACTTTAACAGTTAATCATGCACAATTTTCAGAACCATAAGCACTATTCACATTTTCAGCTGCCTAACTGATGTTTTCACCTTTATCGAAAAAAGAAATGCGCTCAGTGCCTACTGAGTTTAGTGATCAACACTTTTTCCATCAGCTTTTCAAGTACAAAATAATATCTTTCTAATGTCCTCTAACCTATTTTAATCGCACTTATAGAACGTGAGACACAGATCACTAAATCCAAAAACGCAAACATTTTACTTGACTTGTATATAATACATATATAATTGGCGCTGCCGCCTCCGAAACACCAATGGATTCTTATGAGGATTTTTTTATTTTATACCAGAAATATACCCGGAGTTGTTGACATTCCCTTAGAAAAACTTACGTTAAAAAAAAAAAAAAAAAAATTTCGTAAGATACTAAACAAAAGAAAATAGAACAGAATATCTAAAAACAAAATAAAATATATTAATAGAGCCAACTTATTAAATCATCTGTTCATTTACGTATCTAATTTTTTTAAATAATCAGAAAAAACGCACATTAACAATGAAAAAATATGTATAAAAGTATTAAAATACAATATATATAACAATGTTTAAGCTAAATTAATTTTAATTAATTATATTGTATTTAAAAAAAACAATAAATAGAATGAAAAAATACATTTTAATAAAAAAATTAAAAAAATATCTAATTTTTTGCACAACCCTGCCGCTGTCGAGTAAATTGTTCAATTATGGATTTAATAACAAAGATAAAAGAATATAATGCATATCATGTTGTCAACTCTTCAACTTCTCTTGTCGATATCAGCAGAAAAAAAATTATTTATGTCAATTTGCAAACCAAAACAACCCAGACACCCACCTAGTGACCTGCACTTAGAACCCATTGAAAGTCCATATTTGTATACATAATCGAACACAAGTGTATGTTCGTTATTTAAGTATTTATGTGCAAGTAGTATGTGTTTTACTCCCTTTGAAGTAACCATTGGTTTTCCCTGTCGTTTGCTTTCAACTTTTCTGGATTCTAGTCTTCTATGCTTTTTCTACTCCACTCTGTGGCTCGGCGAACAATTATGATGGAAAAGTGTGTTTGCTTCCGTTATTAAACGGTTCAATTGATTGTGAAAAGAAAAAGGGGGAAAAAGCTTATTTAATATGCGCGGTTGGTGCCACTAACCTGAGAGGCACATTTGTGTTGCAGGTTATGTTGCGGCGAGCAGAATAGAAGAGAACAAGTGACAGGAAGACTTGACGGTCACAACAACAGGTGCAACGATTCAAATGAACTTAAGTGAAGGCAGTGCCTTATGGATTATGCTTCTTAAAAAATATCTATGTTAATACATATATGTATGTCGGCATGTACAACTGTTAGTCGTTGGACATTTTTAATTAATTTCAATTTTTTTTTAGACTTTTTCTTTCACACGGCACTTCCTTAAACGATTTGGGGTTTTCAAACCTTGTTGCAAGTTCGTCTACACTATGAATGTTTACAATATTTTTTCATATATTTTTATTTTATTTTATTATTATTTTTTTTTTTTTTGTTATTTCCTCATCATTTTAGTTAGACCGTAATAATTGCTTGGGCATTTGTATGCTTTACTATATATGAGCCTAGGTATTTGATTAGCTTTCATAAAATTATTTTTATATTCAAATTAGTTACATGTTTATGTTTTTCTTGTACTTGCAGCTCTCTTTCTTATTGTTATTATTAATTTGTAATCAAGAATGCTCTACACGCAGTCAACTTTACACTCTTTAACGGTACATCCGGCGGAAATACGTTTTTGGCTTTATTCATAATTTCTTATTGGCGGTCACCGGTGAACTTAGTGTTAGCCTGGCCATCAAAAGCTCAAGCTCTCAGGCATACAAGTACACATTTAGTTGAAATTGTTGTGGTGACAAGTGCACAGGCAAAGTTTGATAAAACGGTAAAGAGTTCGTGGTGACTGAGCATTGTTGCGGAAGTTTGACAAAATGTCTGTGGGTAAGTAAACACTTACACATAGATATTTATTTATGTATAACTTTTAATACATTTCTCCATATATTTCTGGGCTTAGTATTGCTACTATTTTGTGTTTTTACACTCCTCTTTGCTAGGGCATTGCCATATTTATGCTGCTTGAATTTTAGTTATTAACCTCAACGTATTGCCAATAAAAATTTTTTGGTTCAATGTTTGGAAAATTATGAGCAATTAATTTTACTATCGATTGATTGTCGTACATAACATATGTTTTGATCGGCGATTAGTATTTCATTCGGATTGTTAACATACTTTTTTTGGCGAGTAATAAAATTTTTAGTTTCAAACTATAAATGGATTATGAAAAGCATTTTTTTGTTAGTTATAAAACGAACAATACCGTTAATTGCTCCCGAATTTTGCGAATGCGTATAATTTTTTAGCCGCTTTATTATTTTTTTTATATTAGCCATAACGATTTTCGGAATTGAATTCCATCTTTTTCAAATTTCACTGATTGTATTTTATTTGATTTTAACTAATTAATTTTGTTTTATTTTATTATGTTTTGTTTAATTTCAATTGATTTTGTTTTATTTTACTTTATTTAAATAAATTTTATTTATTTGTTGTTTGATGTAATTTATTTTATTTTATTGTTATTTTTTATTTGATGTATTGTAGTTTATTTGAATTTAGTTAAATTATTTGTTTATATGTGAGTTTAGCTCATTTTATTCTGATTTGTTTTATTTAATTTTATTTTATTATTTTGTTTTATTATTTTTTTTTTTAATATAATTTAATTAAGCAAACTAAAGGCATGGTTTGTTTGTATGAATTCTCCGAAACAGCTGTCATTTCTACCATTTTTCTTTGTTCAATAACAAAATATTAAATTCATACAAACAAAGCAGGCCTTTAGTTTAATTAATACTTATAACTATGATTAATACAGTATGGCCGCAAGAACAATTATTGTATAATTCAATTTTATTTTATTGAACTTCATTTTGTTTTTAATTTTTTATTTAAGTTTAATTTAATTTATGTTTATGTTATTTCAATTAAATTTATTTTATGTTGTTTTATTTTATTTTAATTAGTTTTATTATATTTTAAGTTATTAAGTTAAGTTTGTATCATTTTATCTTGTTTTGTTTTATTAACTTTATTTTGCTTAATTGTATTTTATTTAATTTTGTTTTATTTTAATTAAGTTTATTTCATTTTATTTTATTTTAGTTTTTATTTATTTATTTACTTTATTTCGATTCATTTTATTTTATCTGATTTATTTTGAATATTTAATTCTATTTTATTTTACTTTGTTTAAAAAAATCTTATTTATTTGATTTTATTTAATTTTGTTTTATTTTTTTGACTGTTATTATAATTTATATTATTTTACTGAAATTTTTATTTAATGTAATTTAATTTAATTAGTTAATTTGTATGTATATTTTTTAATTAATTTTAGTTAATTTATTTTGATTTCATTTTATCTGAATTTATTTCATTTTATTTTATGGTCTTTTATTTAATTTAATTTATTTAATTTAAATTAGTTTTATGTTTATGATATTTTAAAAAATTATATTATTTTCTTTTTTGTGATTTTATTTAATTAAAATTAATTAAATTTAATGTAACTTATTTTAATTTAATTTTATTTTAACTTATTTTAATTTAATTATGTGTCATGTTGTTTTATTTTATTTCATTATATTATGTTTTATTCAATTTAATTTTATAGTTATTGTAATTTAATTTAATTAAATTTAATTTATATATACGTTTTTTTAATCAATTTTATTTTAAATTGTTTAATTTAATCTAATTCTATTTATTTTGATTTATATGTATTTATCTTTCTCTATTTTATTTTATTTTTTGGTCTTTTATTCAATTTAATTTATTTAATTTAAATTAGCTTAATTTAAGTGTATGTTATTTTAGAAATCTTTATTTTATTTTGTTTCATAATATTATTTTTTTTTTATATTTTATTGAATTGAAATTAATTCAATATATTTTAATTTAATTTTGTTTTATGTTGTTTTATTTTATTTTTTTATTTTATTGTGTTTTATTTTTGCTTATTTAATTAAATTTTTTGTTTCATTTAATTTATTTTAATTTGTATTTATAAATTAATTAGCTTAATTTAAGTGTATGTTATTTTAGAAATCTTTACTTTATTTTGTTTCATAATATTATTTTTTTTTTTTATTTTATTGAATTGAAATTAATTCAATATATTTTAATTTAATTTTGTTTTATGTTGTTTTATTTTATTTTTTTATTTTATTGTGTTTTATTTTTGCTTATTTAATTAAATTTTTTGTTTCATTTAATTTATTTTAATTTGTATTTATGTTGTTTTGGTTAATTTTTTATTTAATTTACTTATTTTATTTCTTTTCATTTACTTATTTCGGAATTTTTTGGTCTAGAGAAGTCTAAACAGACACGGCTCCGTTGAAATTTTTTTTGTAAAAATCCACAAATATATTATGCATTTTTTGTAAATACGTACGGTCGTCTTTTTCCATTCACCCCACTGTTGTCATATATTTTTCATTCTTCCACTAAAACTGTTTGCGACACAACGTATTTGGGATATAACACAATAATAAGTGATATATTTATAAAAATAAGCGAAATAAATTAATAGATGACCTCAGTGTCGGCATTGAATGACAGATCGTGCTGTGATATGGGAAATGTCAAGCATCGAGTAAAATAAGCACTGAAAAAAATGATGAGCTGCAAGTAAGCCAAGACGGAAACGTACCAAATAATGAAGCTGAGTATAAATGATGTGAAAAAATAAATGAAGCAAATGATGAATATGTTTAATGCTATAATTGTATTACTTATGTACAATTACATTTAGATATATATACATATTTAGGTGTCCATATGTAAGTCTTGTAATAATCTAAGAATATCACTTGAGTAATAAATTAAATACTCGTCTAGCGCCTGCTGTGTTTCACACGCTTACAAGCGCACAAACTATTAAGGGTAATAAGCGAACTTATCCCAACATACGAGTCCACCACAGAATCGGCGTTGAAGCGAATACTTAGGTTGACAACATTGCGTTGCACTTCATTCACGTATAGGAGACATTGGCACAATGAGTGAGCCACTGAAAACCAATACATCACAGCAAATGTGCGTAATTTCTTTGCTTTGCTCATTTATTAAACATTTAAATTTATCAAAAAAATTACTTAAGATTTTACCTCTTTACTCGCTGCACATTTTTTTGTAATGTGTCTATTCAGCAACGCCCTAACGTAACTCCCTCTTTTTAAATGGGTTGTTCTCTGCTAATCGTCTCTTATGACCATATGAATCTTATATTTATGAGATTCTTAATTTCTAATTTCAAAACACTATTAGCCTTCACTTACGAGAGGAAACGTTTGCCTCCAGCTTATATATCTGATGGAGGTGGGAATGGACGAGAGTTTAAATACATACATAAAAGAAAAGATAAATTGTTTTACGTTCTGGGAAGCTGTTAATATTTTTTATACCAACATCATATATCTAGACTGCTTGCAGTAGAATTTTCTCGGACTATTTCATAACAACGAGTCAGTGCATTTGATGGGCAGTGCAAATGTCAAAGGACAATGCATATACAAACATGTAAAAGTGTATATGTGAGCTGCACTTGTCCGCCTGACCTTTTATTTGAATTTCTCTTTTATGTGTGCTCATGTGATTGTGTATTTTGTACTCTACTTATTTGGTGTCAGATTTTGTTGCACTTGTTCTTTGGCTTTCTGCGTTTTCCATTGTTGTGCACATAATGTTGCGGTTGTTGTGGGTGGACTAAACATGTCACGGGTCTGTGAACTTTTCAACTTCTGTTTGTTGCTTGGTTTAAAAACTAATGTGTTTGTGAGAGATTAACGGGATCTTTGCTGTGGAGGACAATGATTATGCAAAAAAATAAAAAATTTAAATGTTCTCAGTTCTTCACAATTTTTTTCGTGAAAAATTTGGAGAGTAAAAGTAGAGAAGCTGGCCGAAATGCTCGAAAATTCTACGACTACTGCAAATTATCGAAAGTTTCCAGACCGAAGCAAACTCTTTTAGGACCCGGAGAGGAGATCTAGTGACTGATGCCAAGAGTATACTAATTTTATGAAGGTTATCTTCTCCAGCTGTTTGGTTGCTTGACTATGAAGAAATTTATATAGAAATCGAATCACAGCGGCGAGGCCGATTAATTACCGTCGGATTTGTTCAAATACGGAGGTGAAGGGTGCAGTTTTTTTTTTTAAATATGGTCGGATGAAAGTATGTTTGACAATTGGAATCTAAGGCAGACCCATAATCTGCACTAACTACCATGGAATAAGCCTGCTCAATAGTGCATATAAGGTCTCATCGAGCGTTTTGTGTGAAAGAGTAAAGACCCCAGCGAACAATCTGATTTGATCTTATCAGTGTGGACTTAAACCTGGTACGTCAACCATTGACCAGATTTTCACCAAGCTCCAAATCTTGGAAAAGACCCGTGAAATGAGGATCGACACCCACCACCTGTTTGTCGATTTTAAAGCAGCTTTCGACAGCACGAAAAGGAGCTACCTCTACGCATCTAGGTTTGAATTTAGTATCCTCGCAAAACTTTTACAGCTATGTAAATTAACGTTCAGCCACACCAAATGCATCGTTAGGATCCGAGCTGTTCGATACCAAAAAAGATTTCAGATAAGGTAATTCTTTACCATCCGCTCTACAGGTCGTTAATTGATCCCGTTCTGTTATATGGTGCGGAAGCAGGGGCAATGACAACACCTTATAAGTCGGGGTTGGTAGTTTTTGAAGGAAGATTTTGGTTAAGATTTAAGGTCCTCTACGAGATAGAAACGTCGGATATCGAAACTGATAGAACGATGATCTGTACGAGATTACGGTATTATTGACATAGTTCAGGAATCAAGAAACAACGGCTGCGGTGGTTGGGACATCTGGATAAGAGTGATCCA